GCCGCATCGAGAAGAGAGGAAGAGTTCCATGTATGCACGCTCATCGATCACTGCAGCAACACCGCCTGCGCTGGGGCCATCTTGCAAGGCTTTCTCATATTCTTCTGGTGAGTTAAGAGGTACAAGTCTGGACCTGTGTATGTTTAGCTCATCGGTTAAGTAGTTTTCGGCAAATGAACCCTTCAGGAAACCAATGGGATCACCGCCTGTTGCTAGACTTTCAATCCCTTTAACAGGTGAAGAAAGCTGCTCCACTGTGAGGATTGAGGTCAGGCTTGCAATGTAGCTTGAGTTGAGTATTAGAACTACAAATAGCCATATGATTAGCACGAAGCGACCAAGTGTGCTGCCTGTTTTTTCTTCTGCATATGTTACCAATAAGGAATAAGATCAAACAGTTATAGAAAGTAACATTTAACATAATATAAGCTTCTTGGTTCGTTTCACTTACTCTGGGAAAAGAACAGAGTTGAAAAGCTAAACCTGCGAGAAGAAAGCAATAATTATATACCAATTAGAGAGTTTAGATCAAGAGATGATTAAAAACCAACCAAGAAAATCTTTGTGGAATGTATTGAAATTTTGCATTTGAAGATGTGGATTGAAGCACTTACCAAATAATTGTGACAAATTGCTTTCTTGGAGGGCCCCGAAAATCCTCATTTGTCCTACGCTCCAAAATCCAAACTACTGCTCCCACAACTAGGAAGAAAATGCCTGTGACACCCCACATCATTGGAGTGAAAGGTCTCAGAAAAGCCCAAGCACTAGAGTTCAACTTCCTTATTGGAGCAACCACAACTAAACCAGACTCAATATATGGCTGTGTGAAATCCACCATCTTTGTTCTGCCAGTGGTGATGGTAATATCTCCAACCACACCATCAAACTCCTGTATAAAGATTGAAATCCAAAGAATTAATAATTATAGTAATGTCAAGAAAAGTCTAAATAGTTTCTGTTTTGTAGTTTATACTTTATGCTTACACCAATTTGGATCATGTGCAGAAGTTCATTGTTATCTGGGTTCTTTTTACCATCCCCAAAGGGGACAAATTTATATGGGACACCATATGGTAACTCATTCAATGCAGC